GCAATCAAAGCTGTTATCATTAAGAAGCATATCTTAATTTCAGTAATGCATTTGAAAGATTCATTATGTTATCTTGCACTGGATTGGGAAATACTAATATGATAGTGGAAAATAGAGAAAATTTTTGCTATTTGATTACAAATTCAAGGAGCCATAGTAATTGGGTTAACATCACCCTAAAAATGTAATTATGGTCAATTTTCTAGCCAAATGGCAAGTTCCTGGGAAATGCAGTTCTCTTTTACACCAGCATGACCTTGCACTTGCAATTTTAATGCCTCTGTCTAACTGATGTAAAGATCCCACTCTTTCTTTGAGTACCACCAGTAAAACCTTTTCTGTCACCTTCCCTTGCCGTTAGCTGTGTTTTTATAGGACTTCACACCTTTCTCTGTTGGAATATATGTACTGTAATGCTTAGAGCTGATGTCCCTGACTTCTCTATGAGACTTTCAAAAGCAAGCCCAAGCCTTATATTCACTTGAATCTGAGTGCCCGACTAAAATCTGGCACACAATCAATGTGGTGAATGAATAGAAGAGGAGCACAGGCATAGTAGATTTATGTTGATTATGTTTTCATTGTAATTACAATTATGTCGGAACTGAAGTTAATTAGGAAGCGTTCCTTTGGAAAAGTGGTATAAAAATCCATCTCAAAAGCATTATAAGAAAACTCGGTAAAGGATTCTTATTTAGACTTTTACAAGAGTGGAAAAAACACAACTAAGGAGAGTTTGTTTTGCTAAGTGCACTTTTGTCTCAATGTAATTGTATCTGTGGAAATTAGTTTCATTAATAGTTTTTCTACAGATAAAAGAAGTTATTGAGGAAGATTAAATTGTCTTTTTTTCTGAATATATTTTATTGGTTTTATCATCAATTATTGGTTGTTGCCTTTACTGGTGTTATTTTACATACACATAACTAAAATTAGTCATAATTTCATCTCAGAAGAATTGGTCTTCTATCTTTTGGCAACTAGATACAGACTGACCAGACGTTGATACAATGACAAAGTCAATATCATATCTAGAAACAGATTGAAAATAATTTTAAGGCAATGCTACCATATATAGTTATATATATTTATAGCTGCCATAACTTAGACTATAGAGTAAAGAAATTAAAGATCAATTGAGACAAGGTTTGAATCAATAAAAATAAATCCACATAGGAGCAAAGAAACTCTTCCAAATAAAAGTCCAGAGGACAAATCTGGACTCAGCAACTCACAGTTATTAGAGGCCAATGAATAAGATAAAGAGAGCATAGTAGCACACAGAAAGGGGGTTCAGATGAAGTTTCTGGAAACCATTTTCAATGACAAGGCTTTTGAAGGTTACTCCTTCTATTAAGTGTGTGATATTCTGAACCTGACATCTAATTATTGAATTATGTCTGATTTCTCCAACATCAGCCAATAAAACTGGAGGGCTTTAAAATCATAAAAATGTAATTCAATCCATATCATGATAATCTTCTGTTTCAATTTAGAATATAATTAAAAGTTTGTTTATATAATAATAAAATTAATACAATTATGGAAGTAAGCTCAATTCTTTTTATTAAAGATTCATTAATTATGTACCCAAACACATTCATTTTTATTCTATTTATTTATTAATTATTTTTAACTCATCTTTATTGTTGAATGTATTACAGATGTTTCTCCCTTTTTTCCCATTGACTCCCTCTTCCCCAATCTTGCCCCCCTCCTGCCTTCCCCACACTATTGTCGGTGTCTATTGGTTATGTATATATACATAGAAGTTCTTTGGTTTATCTCATCCCACCCTCCCTCCCCTCTTCCCTTTGAGATTCATCAGTCTAACAACCAATCTGTACTTCTTAATTCCTTCATCTTTTTCACCCATACCCCCAGCCCCCACCCATCTGGCAAGTAACATAAAGTTCTCTGTATCTATGAGTCTGTTTCTGTTCTGCTTGCTCATTTTGTTTGTAGATTCATTCAGTTGTTGATAGATAGATATATTAATTGCTATTTTATTGTTCATATTTTTGTTCTTCTTCTCCTTCAAGAAGACCCTTCAACATTTTATATAATACTGGTTTGATGGTGATGAATTCCTTTAGCTTTTTCTTGTCTGGGAAACTCTTCATATGTCCATCGATTCTAAATGACAGCTTTGCAGTATAGAGTAGTCTTGATTGTAGGTCATTGCTTTTCATCACCTTGAATATCTCTTGCCACTTCTTTCTGGCCTGCAAAGTTTCTTTTGAGAAATCAGCTGACAGTTTTATGCGAGCTCCTTTGTAGGTAACAAACTGCTTTTCTCTCGCTGCTTTTAAGATTCTCTCTGTATTTAACCTTTGGCATTTTGATGATGATGTGTCTTGGTGTGGACCTCTTTGGGTCCAACTTGTTTGGGACTTTGTGCTTCCTGAACTTGTATGTCTGTTTCCTTCACCAAGTTAGGAAAGTTTTCTGTCATTATTGTTTCAAATAGGTTTTCAATTTCTTGCTCTCTCTCTTCTCCTTCTGGTACCTCTATAATGTGAGTGTTGGTATGCCAGTAGTTATTCCAGAGGCTCCTTACACTCTCCTCATTTTTATGGATTCTTTTTTTCTTTTTGCTGGTTGGGTGTTTTCTGCTTCCTTATATTCCAAATTGATCATTCGCTTCTTGGCTTTACCTACTCTACTATTGATTCTCTATAAATTATTCTTTATTTCAGTTAGTGCATCCTTAAGTTCCTTGAACGTCTTACTAAGTCCCTTGAATGTCTTACCAAGTTCTTTGAGCAACCTTATAACCTGTGTTTTGAACTCAGCATCTGATTGTTTGCTTATCTCCATTTTGTTTAGTTCTTTTCTTGGAGTTTTGTTCTTTTCTTTTATTTGGGACCTGTTTCTTTGTCTCCTCATTTTGGCTGCTTCCCTATGATTGTTTCTATGTATTAGGCAGAGTTACTATGTCTCCTAGGCTTTGTAGGGTGGCCTATTATTGTAGGTGTCTTGTAGAATCCAGTGGCACAGTCTCCCTGATCACCCCAGCTGGACCCTCGAGGTACACCCCTCATATGGACTGTACACCCTTCTGTTGTATTTGAGTCTTGATTGCTGTTGGCACATCAATGGGAGGGATTTACTCAGGCTAATGAGCTGTAAGGATTAGCTGTGCCCACTAGACACTGGCCTCTGACTACCTTGGCGGATCAGCTGTGTAGGGGCCCACCTCACAGACCAAGATTTACTTCATCAGGGCTCTGGTACCCACTGAGTCCACTCATTGATTGTGTCACTTGTGGAGGTAGTTGGATGGTGGTGTTTCAGTGTGGTCTAAAGCTGTCCACTAGGTGTGCTGGCTCTGGGGCAAGGTCATTCTCTGCCTATGTTCTATCCAGGGCCTCCCAGCATAAGCTACAAAGTGATCTACAGATGGCTACTTCTTATGCTGGGTTTAGAAGTGTCCAGGAAAAGCCAAGTTGTGAAGTTGGCTGCTTCTACTGCTAGGCCTAGGGCCATTTAATGAGAGGTATAGGGCTTGCTGAAACCAGATGCTACTTGTTTGAGAGATTTTAGGAAACTCTGAAGCTGGATCCAAGACAGGCCAATCCTATGGTAAAGCCTTTGGAAACAGCTTGGGTGTGGGGGGGCCGGCGGAAAGTTGGGGGGGGGGCAGGGCCTCAGGGAATCCTCTGGGTGGGGCCAACAGTGTAAGCCAGGTTGCTGAAATCCCAGATATAGTGGCCATCTGCCGCCCTGTGGGGAAGGGCTCACCAAAAATACATCAGACCTTGCCAGCACATCTGTCCAGGAGAAAGCTATTCCTTCTCCCTTGTCCTGAAGCCAAATAGCTCAGTTCTTCCCTGTTCTCTGGTGCCCCTCAAGCTGCCTCTCCTCCTAGCTCAGAGGGAGCAAGTCCGAGTAAGTGTGCGTGGGCCCTTTAAGAGGAGCTGCCTGGGGCTCCAGAAGCCGCAGCCTCCCTCTGCCTCAGTTCCCCCCTGGTTTTTCCAGCCAAAAGTTATGGGGACTTTTCTTCCTGGCACTGGGACCCTGAGCTGGGTGCCTGATGTGGGACGGGGATCTCTCACTCCCCAGGGAGGACCTTCCTAGCTGAGTTGTCCCTCCTGAATTTTATCTGCCACAGGAGGGTGTGGGACCAGCCTTTCCATGCTTCCACCCCTCCTACCAGTCTGGATGTGGCGGCTACTTTATTTTGTAGGACTTCCATTCAGCTCGATGTAAGACAGTTCTGAATGATGACTGTTGTGGTTTCATTGTAATTTTGATGTGGTTGTGGGAGGACGTGATACTGCATTTACCTATGCTGCCATCTTGAGTGGAAGTCCAAACACATTCATTTTTAATGAAAATTCTTACATAAAGAATATTTAAGGGGAAAAAAATATCTAGAAAGTTGTCGGAAGAATTTATCCAGAGGATGTGACTGATCATTAACCTTCTAGTTGGATCCACGCAATCTAAAGCTTCTTACCCCTCCATACTCCTTGTAATGTGTGCTCAAGGCTGTTCCCACACTTTGATACACTTCAAGGATTGAGAAGTACCCTTGAGAGTATAAGGTGTTACTGAGAGTTTGTGTGCTCTACATGTGACTGAACCCTGCTAAGGCCTCTATATAAACTTTAAAAATTCTGGTGGGTAGGTGTGGAAATCTACTCATCTTGTGGCTGCCCAAGATGTAAATTTCCTGGCTATTAAACCTGCCACCTACTAATCTGAACTGGACTGTCTCTTTCTCTTTAGTCTTTTTTTGTCCCCGTCCCCGCTCATGTACAGGGGCCAGTTTCAAAATTCATTTGGGGAACTCTTGAGGTTGAGAACCAAAAAAAAAAAAAAAAAAAAAAAAAAAAACTTTTTTTTTCCTCAAAGAAAAAAAAATGAAATGAAAATATTACCATTTATTTAAATTAAGTCAAGCATCTAAAGTTTAATATAGACATCAGAATTATGTATAGAATGAAATGTTTTTGCTGTTACATGTTATTTCTCATTTTCCTACTTTTCTCTAGATTTTTATGTAATTGTGAACCTGGGTATCATGGATCTCTCTGTGAACTGCGTATGAATGAATGTGAAATCTCACCTTGTCTGGATGGAGAAAATTGTGTCAACAGAACCGGTGCATATAACTGCCTCTGTGCTCCTGGCTACACAGGTAAACCCCGCTCTGCCCTGTCTATATCAGCCTATCACTATCTGTAAATAAATCAAAACCTCATACTACTCTCTAAAACATGAAATAGCTTGTCACTTGCAAATAGAACAGAAAGGTCAAGGCACTACTTGGTCTCTTATAAAAGAAATGAATAAAAACAAAAATATGCTTTTTAATATACAGTTTTTTAAAGACTAAGAAATATATAAATCATATTTTAATGGTTTATATTTGTGTGCTTTTTGCATTGAAGCTTTTGTAAAGTATAGTTATTTGATTATAATACAGAAAATAAATATAGGTGTATGAATAATCTAAGAAATATTATATAAACATTACACAAATATCATCTTAAGATATATTTATATCCTTTAAATATACTTATATATTAAAATTCAATGAGGGAGCTTTTGTGAATTTGAAGTTCTAGCAGAAAAATATGATTTGGAGTTAGCTTTCGTAGTATCAGCTATCCCACAACATAAATTCTGTCCAAATATATGGGCAAAAGTCATCAAGGAATTTTAAAAAGAAGAACACCATTACTTAGCCTTCTACTTGAAAAACTGTAGGACATTGGAGAAAGAAATTGAGGAAGAGACAAATACGTAGAAGCATATATCATGTTCATGGATTGGAAGAACTAACATCATTAAAATGTTCATACTATGCAACGTAATTTATAGATTCAACACAACTCCTATTAAAATAGCAATGACATATTCTACAGATCTAGAAAAAATATTTCAAAAGTTTATATGGAACAAAAAAAGATCCTGAATAGCCTCAGCAGTCTTGAGAATTAAGAACAAAGTTGGAAGGATCACAATACAAATTATTAAACTATAGTACAAGGCCATTGTAATCAAAATAGGCTGGTACTGGTATAAGAACAGGCATATAGATCAATAGAAAAGAACAGAGAGCCTAGAAATCAAGCCACCCCTCAATTGCTATTTGACAAAAGAGGCAAGAACATACAATGGAATAAAGACAGTCTGTCCATAAGTGGTGCTGGGAAAATTGGACAGGTATATGCAAAAAAATAAAACCAGACCAACAACTTACACCACCTACAAGAATAAGCTCAAAATGGATAAGAGATTGAAATGTAACTTGCAAAACCATAGAAATCCTGGAAGAAGACATAGGCAGTAAAATCTCAGACATCTCTCATAGCAAGATTTTTGCCAATATATTTCCTAGGGTAAGGAAAACCAAGGGAAAAATAAACAACTTGGACTACAGCCCTCTAAACTTCTGCTGAGAAATTGTATTTATGAAATATAAAAATGTATTGTTTTGATATACCAAAACATATATTAATCATGTGGCTCTAGCAAGAATGTATTAAAATGTCAACTCTCAATTTATTGATGTTTGAATTCTACACCACTGGGATCTTTTGGGTTCCTTTTCTAAGGGAAACTAGTTAAGTAAATCTAGTACAAGATTGCTCACAGGAGTAAAATATACTAAACAAGTAGAAATTCGATTGAAAAGCAAAACTGATAAAGAACTAGAAATATTTTCAGTGAATGATCAAAACACAAGAAAAGTGAAGTCACCTGAACAAAGATTATGCAGGTATCTTTCCCATTGAATCCTGATGGCTTTAGAGAAAGTTACCTTGGTAAAAAGTGTTAGGTGCACAAAAGTTTCAGCTTAAATAAAAAACCAAAACAATAGTATGGTAAAGGCCTGGTGGGGACAGGAACCAGGAGGAGGAGGTCAATGGGAGGAAGAGAGGGGAGCATCTGTAATACTTCCAACAATAATGACAAATTAAATTTAAAAAAAAATTAAAAACCATTATCTACAGATTTTCTTACCTAAATAAAAAACAGTATCTATTGGCTATAAAGCAGTGTTCTTTCTAAATTTTATAGTGCCCTTTATCTTCCAAATTATTGAGATTTCTTTTGGGCATTTGAGATACTCAACTAGCAATGCCATTCACTATGCTGTTGTTTCGAGGTTGCTACTGCTGCTCACACTGTTGAAATAAGAAAAGGCACACCAAGCTCAATGTGACTGAGAAACACATTTTGTAAACGTCTTTGATATAACACACTGTTCTCGTACTGTAAATGCATCTTAAAGTTTGAAGGATTAACATATTTTTATTCACAACCCCTCTATTTTCCTTTCAAGCGACACTGCTTAGCCTCATTTCAGAATTTATCCTTGAGTTGCCCATTAGACACCCCAACGGAGAAGTTGAGTGCACAGTTGGTTGTATGAGATAGTCTTCAATGAAAACAAACTTGTGAGTCATTAGATATATGATTGTAACACTGGATAGAATAAAAAAGAAGTGAATGTGGCTAGAATGGAGAAAGACCAAGGACTGAGCCCAGGGCTACTGCAATATTTCGGAATACGGGGGAGAAAGAGATGGAGCAAAAGAAATTGAAAAGAGCAGTCAGTGATACAGGAAGAAAAACAAGGGGAGGTAGAGTTCGGACAGCCATGTAAATAATTCCATGTAGAAGGAGTGATCAACAGTGTCAAATATTATTATTTCGTCAAATAAAATAAGTGCTATTAACCCCTGGAGCTAGCAATGCAAATGTCATTGGTGACATTGTCAGGGAAGACATTTTGCTGGATTGATGGGTGTAAACTCTGTCGGAGGGGATTTAAGAGAAAATGTGTAAATTGCTGAGAGGATTATCACACTTTATTAAAGTAAGGTTTTATTTTTTACAATGGAAACAAGAAATTGGCAGTACCTTGAGGAAGGAGTGAGATTAAACGTTAAAGTTTTCTGTGTTTGTTTTTTTCTTTTAAATTTGCAAGCTTATTAAATGACTCTGGCTACTGTGGGGGGAATGGACTGGAGAGTTTAAATGACAGAGGCAGAGGAACAGATCAGTGGGCTTTGGGGCAATCCTGTCATAAAGAGACATTCCGGGAGCAGTGCTGTAATTGATTAATGGGAAGGCTGCTTAAGGATTAAGGTTTTCTTGAACTTCCTTTCAATCTCTAAATCTAAATTTCTCTGGCCTGTTTTCCAAGGAAAATTTGGACTTTGAACTCAGCAAATTATACTTGGTTTTTTTTTGGTTCATTCCATTGTAGGCTTCTCATATTGAAAGAAAAGAGGTTTCTTCTCAACTTCAAAAGGATTTATGGGAAGGCTGCCACAACCTAGCTCACATGCCATAGTCAGGAGTGGTTTTCACACTTGGTTTGGTGGTCTAGCCTGAGCCCTCAGGTAAACTTGTTATGCAGTAATTAGAGTAACCAAGGTGTCTCTAGATGTATGTAGTCGAGTCTAAGTTCATTTACCATTATATCAGGCCAGGTGTATTATAGATTGGCAACTTGCTAACTTCTTCCTGGACTAAATTCTCATAGTTTTACTAGAAAACTAAGACCATTAAACACACACACAATTCACATATATTTATTTTCTCCCTAATATAAACATATCTGAGAGAAATAATAAGTTTACATGTTATATAGCAGATGATATTAATTGCCATAAGAAAAAATTACATAAAGAAATGATTATAGGGAGGCAGGAAAGGTTAGGAGTTGGGGAGGTGAATTTAAACAGAGAAGTCAGGGAAGGCTGTGAACAAATTAGTTCAGTTTAAGACTGAGATGCTAGTTATATATTGGTACACACATACCTATGGGTATAGATAAAGAAGTAGGTAGAGATACAGAGATATCAAGATCCAAAAATACACTTAATCACCTATAAAGATGAGAGTGTTTGCCTAATAACAGATATTTATCTTTTTATGTAATGGGACCATTAAAATAATAGATTCAACCAGTAAAGAAGCTTTAATATTTCCAGGGGCTATTAGAATATTTATAATGAGTATATATACATATAAATATATATATATATATATATAAATATATATATACACACATACATTTTATATATATGTGTATATATATATATACATATATATGATGTATTTAAACAAAAAACCATCATCACATCACAGATTAATTAGAAGAAACACCTACACATTTTAGCTGTAGTTGGCTATTTAGCAGTCTGCTGTATTAAGAAAGAGATATTTTACAAAGACTAATCTAGTTTCAGAAATGTTCAAAATTCAGTTTCTGCATAATGCTTTCATTTCCACACCTATGTGTAATGTGGTCCCTTGCTTAGCAATGATTACACTTTCCCTTACTTCTTAATGTGATTCTATAACAACATTTAGATATTAAACATACTATAGTGGCAATAACACCAGAAAAGATCTGATTTGCCTGAATAGAGCAGAGTGAGGAGTTGGAAGATAATATTATAATGCCAATATAAAAAACTTACAAAACTGCTCCCAAGATGCAAGTTCTTTCAGTATTCTTGAACATTTCTTCTAGTAAATATCTCCATATTTCTAAATAGCATACTTATATTGCTATTTCTTAATGTTTTTATTCTGAATATTATCTAAGTAATTTTTCTATGGAAATAAGGATTTAACTCTGTTATCACCATCCTCGTTTGCCAACACACACATAATTTTCCTCACTACTTCCTCCTAAAATGGTTACATAAAAAATTTATTGGTCAAAATTTAGTTATTATTCTAATCATATATATATTTTTTCCTTTTTACTTTCTTATTCTTGCTTTTTTTTTTTTTCAAATCTTTATTTTTGGATGTAAAATGTATTACAGATGTTCCACATTTTTCCCCCATTGACCCCTTCCTCCCCACTCCCGCCCTCCTCCCACCTTTTCCCACACTATTGTCTGTGTCCATTGGTTATGCATATAAGTTCTTTGGTTTATTTCTTCCCACCCCCCCAACCCCTTTCCCTTTGAGGTTTGTCAGTCTAGCAATGAATTTGTGCTTCTTAATCCCTTCACATTTTTCACCCATTCCCCCAACCCCCTTCCCAACTGGCAACCAACAAGATGTTCTCTGTATCTATGAGAATGTTTCTGTTCTTCCTGTTCATTTTGTTTGTAGATTCCATTGTCAATAGATATGTATTCATTGCCATTTTGTTTGTTC